GCACGGGCGCACCGCTGAGAAAAAATAAAAACTTTGGAATAGGGTAAAGCAGTAGAATGACCTATATGACAGTACTGGCACTTAGTGGGTATTTCCCCTTCAGAAAGGGGGGAGAAGGTAAAAGAACAGCAATTTTAGAGCTAGAGAGTTTAGAGGAGACTACTAAATCTCTACCAAGGAACATGATAATAAAGCTAAGGAAAAGGGGATAGCAGGAAAGCAATGAGCTACTTTTTATAGGCATACGTAATGAAAAGCTACAAAGAGAAAAAAAAAACTTTAAAAGAAAAAAAAAAGCTGTAGCTACAGGAAAGAGAGACTTCTCATCTCTGGAAGGAGGTACCCCACAAAACGCTTACGGAAGGTCTAAAACACAGCACTCCTGTTGCCAAAAGGCTCAACGCAGTCTTGGTGCTAGGAATGAGCGACCATGTTGTGACTTCCGCGCAGCAGCAGGGACCCAAACCTCAGCCCCAGCTCTCGTGTCCTCGAGGTCAAAAAGGGAAGGTCTAAGCCCCAGCGTGCAGCAGTCCTGGAGCCTTCCCAGGCAGAGACCTAAAGCAGTCCTGTCTGTTTAGCTTACAAAAAAGACCAACAGGCTATTACTGTGTGTCTCCATGGAGATAAAATGCCAGATACTTTTTTTTTTTTTTTTGATTTTACAGAGACGAATAAGGAGGAACAAAGGCTGGGAGCTGAAAACAGACATCTCAGCGTGGAAAAAAGGCACATGTTTGTTAGAAACAATAAGGGTGAGTAACTGCTGGAACAAATGAACAAGGGAAGTGGTCGGTCTACAGCACTCACATTTAAAAGATTAAGTTTCATAAAACATTTTTTCCTATTAGAGGTTGTGCACTGAGCATGTGTGATTCAGAGCACCGTAGCAACATGGTGGGTTTGTGGCCAATTACAGCAGGAGGAAGTACCAATTACCTTTTTGTAGGCAGCTGTGACAACTAGTTTATACTGATTTAAAAAATGCTCTTTTAAAAATAGCAAAATAAATGCAATTGTTCAGGCTTTGGACTGCCAAAGGACTTCTTTTAGGCAATTAATTGGAATTTTAAAGTAGAAAAGAACTTGCTATAATGGCAGATAACACATTTCAGAGCTTCCTGCTCTTGCCAGAGTGGCACTTGCAGCAGATATGACCTATAGCTTTGAGTCCTCAGTAATGGTGTGTCCAATTTTCAGGAAAGCTAAGCTGCTGTTTTCACCTGATACAATTAAATTACAAGTGTGAAAAGCAAATCAGCCGCAGTCCCTTAGCTTAATTTGTCCTCTGCTGGATGTCTGATGTCTACCTGTGGTTTTAAAGTGCAGGAAAGCTGCACCTTTTCTCAACAGCACGTTTGCCTATCAGTTAGTAATTTCAAAAGTTCCATTGTGCCTTTGTTTTCTGGAATAAGTTAACCAGCCTCCACTCA